TTTTTTTTTTTTTTTTTTTTTTTTTTTCTTATATGATTCACTTAACGTCCACTATTCGTGAATGAAAATATTTTACAAAGAAATAATATAAGTATAAATAATATAAATATATAAATAGAAATAATATAAATATATACATACAGGATAAAGAGGCTAAATATGCGTTTGAAAATTTGTTTTCAGTCAAGAAAGCCCCGATGACGGCCCTCGATGAGAACGTGAACCGTGTTCCACGGCTATACACAAACGAAAGAGAAACAGAAAGTGAGTTTTTTTCTTTTTAATTATCTCTTTAGCATATCTTTTCATATTCATCTTATAATAAGAATATTTTTTTTAACACATTTTGTTAATAAATCAACATAAATTAAAATTTTTCGAAATTTTAAATTTAATGTAAAAGGTAATAACATTTATACAGTCTACAACAAAAAGATGACACACTTGTAAATGTTGTTATTTTTCAAATATGTGATAAAATCTTTTCTTCGTATATATACTTCAAGATTGTTTCTATTGATGAAATTAATTGGGCAATAAAAATTCTTCAATCAAAACTTAAAGAGAAATCATAGATGCGACAAGATGATAACACAGTTTCTAAATTCTTCTTCGATAGTTAAAATTAAACCGTCATAGTATTTATATGGTGTATTATCTTGTTGGATTTTAATTACATTTAATATTGTACATGTTTATTGTTGTTTTTTATTGAAATTTCATCATCAAACTAGAAAAAAAATCTTTATCCGATGTTGAAATAAAAATAATTTTAATATTACAAAAAAACTATTTTAAATTACACGTATTATATATTGGACTAGTATATAATATCTATAATAATCTATGATATAAATATAAGATAAATATAAGAATAAGAATAAATATATTTGTTCAAATGATGGAAATAAAATTAAATTTTCAAGACATCATCTTTTTGTTGCAGGATATACAAATTAATTGAATTCTGAATTTGATTATCAGTAAAAAAAATGTTCACAAGATATTTTTAGCTTATAAGAATTCAAAATGCATAATTATTTATATATGGAAAGTGAATAAGAAATATTTTTAAAAAATTGCACTTTAGAAAAAATTGCACTTTGATAATCGAATAATGATTAGATAATCATTCAAAGTAAATAATTTAGTAAATCTGATTGATTATATGTAAATTATGTTTTATTCAGCATTCAATTAAAATTATTTAACACATAATATACATACATAATATACATACATAAAATATTTTTTCATCATTTTCCAAATAAATAAATATACAATTTGAACTTCTTGAAACTTATTAAAACATAGAAGAACATCTTATATTTAATTTTTTATTGATTAAAAATTGCTCAATTTCTTTTTGTGCTTTATTGTAGAATATTTAATTTGAAAAAGAAAAACACTTGCACTGAATTTTTGACATTGACTTTTTTTTCTTTTTTTTCTTTTTAACATTTTAAATAAATGAAATATTTTAAAGATTAACCTGTCGATTAATTTTATTTATTAATCTTGATGATTTTGAAATATATATTATAAAAATATATTATATAAATATATTATAAAAATATGAATTTTAAACAAGTTTTTTTGTATATAAGGAAAAAACAATCAACTTTAATTTTTGCGTTATTCGTAAAAAATTTTTTAATACTGATAATTGTTATAATATGATTTCTGTCCATACATGTGCATAATAGCATATTGCATCTATGATAATGTATACGTCAATATACGTTAATACATTACTTATTAACTATTTACATAAACATTTAATATATAATGAATGAAAATCTACTTTCTCATTAATTTGAATAAAATCTTTTTTAAAAGATATTAAATATAAAGTTGCTTTTATTATAACTTCAATCACTTAAGTCTTGTTTTATATTTTGCATTTTGAATAGAATTCTTATTGATTATCGATATATTATTAATATCTTATGATAACGATATCGATTTTCATAATTCTACTTCCAAATATTTGTAAAATGCTTAAACTCGCTATAAATAATAAGTGATATTAATTCAATTATTTTAAGTACTGGTTGCCATGATGTATTTATTAACAATTGATAAATGGCGGTTGCATATTGTTGCATGCACTACTATAAATATATATACA